TTGAAAATTTCAGTCCAATCGGTGAATTCTTCAGAAAAGTATCTAGTAACAGTTAGGGGGAAAGGTGTTCTTATTGCAACCTTTACAATAGCAAGTTCTACCAGGTAACTGCTGTAATCAGCTATAAAGCCTCTGGAACAGTGGTAACTTCTAATCTGATGCTTTTGGGTGCTAACATCCAAGTTACTTTAGTTATTACCTCCCAAAATGCAAAGGAACAGTGTCTCGGCTTTTCTTGACTTCAGGGGGAAATTTGCCTTACACTTCAAGGGAAGCAGGAGCTTGAGCAAAGCTGCAAGTTCTTGTATAAAAGTAATGTGCTTCACCTGTTCTGTAGCTATTCTTGGGAGCCGATAGCATCCTTACAGTAAGAGTGATGTTGGCTTTGTTTCCTATGATGTGTTAAGGTAGTGACATAGTTCTTAAACTGTCTTCAACACAGGTATTGGCCCAGATGGTCATATTGCCTTCAATGAGCCCGGCTCAAGTCTGGTGTCCAGAACTAGAGTGAAGACGTTGGCTATGGACACCATATTGGCTAATGCTAGATTCTTTGATGGCGACCTCTCCAAAGTCCCCACAATGGCTCTGACAGTTGGAGTAGGCACAGTCATGGATGCTAGAGAGGTTAGAATTAAAATTCAGTGACTTGATATAGTGCTCCATGGAGCATCAAAAAGTTGTCTAGTCTTCAAGAAGTGGTACTTTCTGCAGCCCAGCCCCAGGCATTACAGGGCTTCCAGAAACATAGTTTGCTCAACTAAACAAACCACCCAACTACATTCTTAGCTTTTTTCGTGGGGCTTCTTTGATTGCAAAGATCAAACTAGCCGTGATCAAATTAGACGCCCAAATTGAAATGTGGCTTATAAATGTGGAATGATGACTGAGATTTGATCCTAATAAAAGTAAAACTATACATTCAGGGAGAGGAAAAGAAGGGTTGGCTTACTAAACAGTCATATGCATTACAGCAAAATGAGCTTATTCAGGTGGCTTCCATTATGCTACTTTAACATTTTTCATGTAACTATGCAATACAGTTGTATTTAGCGTGGGAGGCTAGGTAAGGGAGGTGTCTAGGGGATAATCTCACAAGGTAAATGTGAGAATCACTGACTTACTCAGAGGTATACCAGTAAATTGTGAGAGTCACAAGATGGTGTGTGGTTGAACTTACTTTTACACCTGTAGCTCATAACTGTTAATCACCTCCTCTAGCTGTCTAAAGTGCTCTAGTCTACTCTTGCATACACACTAAAGGGAGAGCTCAAAGTAACAGGTGGGTAAGCTTTAAAATGGCCAGGCAAGCTCTAATTGTACTACCTAAAATGATACAGCCAAAGTGAACAATACCCAGTCAATGAAGTGAAACATTGCTGGGAAGGACTAAAATAGTTTTCCTCTTTAGATGACTTAATCTCCTGCTTCAAATCACACTTGGGTGTGTTCCCTTTAAATGTAGATCACAAAACCTAAGTGGTGTTCCTGTCTTTTTTTTAATTAAATTCAGGTTATGATTCTAATCACAGGAGCCCATAAAGCATTTGCTTTGTACAAAGCCATTGAGGAAGGGGTGAACCACATGTGGACAGTGTCTGCCTTTCAGCAGCATCCCAGCACTGTCTTTGTGTGTGATGAGGATGCCACCCTAGAACTCAAAGTTAAAACAGTGAAATACTTTAAAGGTAAGTATTTGGCCACATCAGGCCACTTTTTCAATTAGCTTTTCTATATTTTAAGTGACACCATTTAATTTAGTAAATCTTTCCTGTCAGAAAAATTGTGTTTTGGAGGAAGTGCTGCCAATTAACTCTCAACCCTAAAGTTTTCTTTAAAAAAACAAAGAATACAACATCTCCACTGACTAGAAATCTATTCAGGGTAAATGTAAATGTTGTTTGTTTAAATGTTCCACTATAGTGTTATGAACCCTGTGTTGAGTTAGTAACTCAAAACTAGGAACTACTACTGCTTAGAGGCCATAAATGAAATGCATGAGGCTAGCTTAATTCTCCAAGCTGAGTGAAGTAAGTCCCTCTTTCTGTACATAATAGAATGTAAACTAGATTTAAAAAATTGTTAGTCTGTAGTGGTAAATGACTAAGGATTATTTAAAATTATGCTGACAGTCCCTCTAATATCAAGCTTAAAACAATGGGGTGAAAAATACTGACTTTAAGGTTGTGTGGGAAGGGGGACATGTACGGATATTAGTTTATTATTAGTGGCTGTAACTTAATTAAAAGCAGAAGTCCTCTCTTCATTGCACTTACTACCCATACTTAGTCTTTCCTTTTCCCCCTTACACCAGGTTTAATGCTTGTTCATAACAAGCTTGTGGAACCCTTATACAGTATGAAGGAAACAGAAGCAGAAAGAAGACAGGCTAAGAAGCCGTACAGTGACTAGTTTCTTGGGGGCTGGTATGGTGCTAAGCAGGCTCTTCTCTTGGAAACCAGCACTGGAGAGGAGGAATCCCTACACATTCTTCTTGTATTTGTTCATAAATTAGCAGAGATGTGCTCATTATCTCCATCTTTTAAAAGAGATGAATGAGTACATTGAGCTTAATAAATTAGATGAGGATATACTGTGTTCTAGCAACCTCAAACACTACTCACTCTAGCAGTGAAGCCAATTGAAATGAGGTGTGTAATCTATAAAGCAAGTAAATGAGAACAAGAAGCGAATATCCCTGAACTCAAAGGTGAGGATATGAAAGGAGTAAAATCGAATGGGTTAATTGTAAAATGTATTACAGTTGAAGGACACACATAGGTCCCCCCTGCCCCAGTGCACTTAATCTCAACTGCACTAGCATCATGACATTGAAGTACTAGCACTAACTAGAGTTAGCCATTAAATAAACTTCCTCAAAGCTCCCCTACATTAATTTGTACTATTAGTTTGGGGCTTTCTTGAGGAGATGCTATTAACTTCAGTGTTCATTGATGTATATACCCTTCTACTAAAGCCCTGATCCTGTGATGTGCTACACACCCTCCACTTCAGCAAAATCACAAACCCTGGCTCTTCAGTGTTCTCAGCTTAATAAAATTGCTACTACCAAATGGTTAAACAGCAATTGTGCCTTCTCCATCTGTGTAACTCTGGCTACTATTTCACTTCATGGTCAGATTTCTATAAATCCAAACATGGTGAATGCCACTGTACATCAAGACTAAGGTGCTGTCATTGGACTATAGCAGCCAAGTCTACATATTTGTGTGGATTTGCCATTTTCCCCCCCCCTTCCCCACCAATGCCATTAAGTGTTCTGTTGGTTGTAGCAGTGTAGGGCTGATTGCCTTCACTCAAATCTTCTAGACAGTTCACCTCTTGCCTTTCCTCATAGGTCACAGTAGTACATGCAGAGACCTCTCATAATTCAGCTGTTCATGAACATAGCCCATATATTTAACCACCTAAATCCACTTTATGATGAATGAAACCCTCTACTGCTATAGACCATGCTACTTTCAAAACTATGTTGGTTTTACCCTTATTAATACCAAACGGGCTTACATCAAACTACTGAAGTGTAAGTCACTGGTGCTGTTTTTTAGGTGGGGGATATGTATTTGTTTACATGGAAATCCTACAAACTCTTCATAATGTAACTTTCTACATTAAATGCAGTATTTTTTATCCAAATAAACTGAGTCATGTTACCTGTCTTTACCTATTAACTCTCAAAGTTCTAGTAGGAATTAGAACATTGTGCAAGGCCAGACAGGAATAATTGTAGTGGAAAGAGATGCTGGCATGCCAGAAATATCATTAGCTGGGTAAGACTTGATGGTAAGGATTGTCACCACCCGCTGAAAAGGGCTTCTGTAGAAAGAGGGAGATGGAAGCAGACCTAGAAGTAAAAACTTCAAGAGTAGCTAAGTGACTTAGGACTTACTGGATGTCCATAGGACTTCAGTGCTCTTGAAAAGTTTTACTCTAAATACTTAACTTTAAATGAACTGAGACAAAACAACCAGAATACATTGCTCACCATGTGGTAGAACCTAAAAAGTGATGCAAATCTTGGCTTTCTATAAATTTGGTCTATTACTACAAACAGCTAAACTAGTTTACCAGCTGAAGCGATCATCACAGTTGTTACCTAGAAGCAGATTATTATTATATCCCATAGAGTGACTTTCTATGTCCTGATATGCATCCCATAATGGACACAACTGTGAAGACAATTGAGTTTACTTTTAAAAAGTGAAGTTAGAGCATGTGAAAGGTGCTGGAATTCAAATTAAACAATCCACACACAGGAGTGGGCAAGCTTCCCCTACCCACCTCAACCAAGATTAAGGTGGACCAGTTCTAGGCAAGGGGAATCTGTCTCTATGTGTATCCTATCTTTGATCTCTCAAGCTACCAAGCAGGATAGTGAGTTGTGTAACAAATCTTTGTCCCTTCCAGAAATGGACTAAAACCATTTACTCAATTCAGCTAAACAGACATCTGAGTAAAGATTTATTTACTAACAACCAAAGCTGCATATGAAGAATTGACCTTGACTCTCTGTATCATTACCTAGCTGCTGAGCCATTCAGGCCCTGCTGTCTTATTTTGGACAAAGTATACTTCTCATTAAAAGAAAATCAAAGCAACTGTTTTCTAGCCCATTTTACATTTGAAAAGGATTTCTAAAAATGTAATCCAAGCACTGTTCTCATATTTGAGACTGCTTGTAAAACTACAGGGTAGGGAGATTTGTTTTTCCAATAACTTATTATTTAGAAGTATAATGACAGCATGAATGAGTGAGCTAATTCAGTTGGAGGGCCATACATTAGTCCCAGCCATTTATCTAGACTAGAGGTCTTTGGCCAAAGGACATCATTTCACAAAAATTTTTAACAACTAGAAATTGGGAAGGAAAAACATGCAGTTAAGGGATTTAAGTCAGTTCAGTGTCTGAGGTCGCTTTTCTTTTATTTAAGCACCTCATTAATATTTGAGTCAAGAAACACTACACAGAATTTCACAGATTGGGCACACAGACTGTTTTAATATCCATCATTATGAAAATAATCACCAGACCATATAAATTCCTTCCCTGTTAAGATATGATAGCAACATGGAAATTAAATTACTGAAACTGAATAAAAATATATGATAGGAAATGTTTGTCAGTAACTTTCTACACGGGACCCAGGCATTAGATCCACTGGGGGGAGAAGAGGGAGGAAGAGACGGAATGGGGTGCAAAAATTCTGCAGTTTATAAACCTCTAGCCCACCTCAGCAATAGGAAAGATTACTGCAAAGTATGCAGGATGGAATCCAGAGATCCTTGCCAGGCCAAATTTCCTGGAGAAATTCCCAAACAGAGATTTCTAGGATATGTTTCAGAAAAAGGGGCACATTATGGTATTTAGAGTTTTCTCGACTATTTTTTAAGCCTTTGGATGACAGTTTGTTCACTCTATTTAGCACTAGACATGTACGTAAGGGACTTAAACAACCAGAAGAGGAGGAAAATAGGCTCTTCTGTTTGTGGCGATAGCATCCAAATGGTTGTGTAAGCAGCCTGCAGTGTGAAGTGTTACCACTCTTATATGAAAGCAACAAACTTGACATAAGCGGAAAAGATTCATTTCTGGTTTCTTCAGCTTTAGGTGATGCAGAACATAACTAGTCTTCATCTTCAGCAGCCCAGAAGTCACCATCAACATTCACAGCTTGAAACAACCTGTCATACAGGCAAGAATCTGTATTAGGAATCAGAGAAGATCAACTTGAATTTGAAACTATGCTTTGAACTTTCCAGCTTCTTTATTTTTGTCATTTCATTGAAATGCATGTATTGCAACAGCCAAAGTTGAGTCACCTAAAATATTTTGCATTTCTATACTAACAACAGTGCCTAGTACAATGGTGTCCTGGTCCATGACAAGGGCTCCTAGGCACTATGGTAATACAAATAAATGATAATGATAATTAAGCCTCTAAAGACTCCTGAGAGTATTATTATTAATCATTTTTATTATGGTAGTGCCTAAGACCAAACTGGAATAGAGAGCCCCAGCGTGCTAGGCACTGTCCACACACAGTAGTAGAGTGTACCTTGTCCTGAAGAGTTTACAATCTAAGTAGACAAGGAGAAGCAAATGGGGTGTAACACACAAGCAGAGTGAAAAATGTGATGCAGCAAAAACATCAAATTAGTTAAATGATTAATTTATTTTTGGGGGTGTGGGTTTAAGTTAGGAGGGAATAAGCTAAATGGAAAGAAAAGAGAACGCAGATGGAACATTTAAGGGAAGGCGGGTAAGAGGGGTAGGGCACGGAAGGGGAGAAGGGCAGTTGTGGAATGAAACTGAGGAAAGGAGAAAAGACCGGGGGGGGGGGGGGTCGGCGAAGAGGGAGGGTTGGAGCAAACAGCCCATCAGCATAGGCCAGAAAGTCCAATCATGACCCATCCTCTGAACATAGATCCTTTCCCCATTTTACAAGCAGGCAAACTGAGGCACAGAAAGTAGCTGAATTTTGCTACTGACTCATTTATTTGAGGACAAGGAATAGAACTCAGAAGTCCTGATTCCTATTCCCTCCCACTGAAGCATCAATACAATGTCTAATATAAAAGACTCAACGTCCCAGTGCTAATCTTTAAGGCCCTCAATGGTTGGACGCCTGGCTACGATAAGACACTGGTTTCCTTTGCTAAAACCTTCTGTGCTCAAAGGTTTTGTTAAGGCTGATGAAGCCCAGAGATAAATATTCAGGAGCCAAAGTTCATTGTGCCTTCTACAGCCAACGCCCTGTTGTTGGGAAGTTCCTACCACCAGAGGTAAGGAAGAGTCCAAATCTTGTTGCCTTTACAGCATAATGCATGACACTCCTCTTTGCACAGCATTTACTTAAAAAATGGCTGCACATGACCAGCAACATTTCATCTTGAGATAAATATAACTGAACATATCCTCTTAAGAAAGCAGAAGAATGGAGGGGTGAAAAATGTGGTCTTAGTATAATTTGATATGACACCTACATACCACAGTGAGGGGCACATTATACATGCACAGAAATATTTGGGAATGGAATATATTTGGAAAGAATTCTTCGATCCTGCTTGATTAGCAAAACATTCCAAGACACAGAATACAAGTCAGTGAACCAAGCTTTCACACTATTACACCTCTCTCATCCACTTCCCCTACCATCTACCCAAGTAGCAATGATCTCCTCTATTCTTCTACACAATCCCAATGCTGATGGTGTTAACCTCCAGTTCTGCAGTTCCTAAGATTTAGAGCTGCCTTCCTAAGTATTTTTACCAGACTCATCACTGTGATATCTCACCACCTATACATGAAAATGAACAGTTCCAACAGGGGGCAAAAAATCCCTCAGAGGCATACGATATTTCAAATCATATCTGAAAACATTTTATTCCTTTGCCTATACCTCAAAATTTCTCTCATTTTTATTTTAACTTTGTAACTACCTATATAATTAAGTGAAAAAATAATTCTGGGAGGGCTTGCAAGAAAAATGCTGTACATATGGAGCTTGTATTGTGTTTGAGGGCATATATCGTGACTACGTACCGGTTAAAGCATGGGGAGGATGTATCATTGAAGTGCTTATATGGGTTCACCCTAGACAGAGAACCCATACAAAGCCAGCAGAAGTGCTGGCTGCAGCCAGTGCATGTCATCTTGTTACAACCATCTAGTTTCTGGTGGGGGAAGAAACAGGGAATAGCAGTAAGAATCAACCATACCGCATGTCACTTCTAAGCCTTCAAACCTGCCTTTGTGCAATATCAGCAATCGCTATTCGACAAACGATAGAAATGTGTATTTTCAAAAATGGAACATCTGTACAGTATTTTACTATGTCACACCATCTTTGACAGACTGCTAAAATTTTAACTATAAAAGTTTTTTTCTAGATTGTTTACCCACTGTATGAACAAACAAACAATTTTATTCAAAAGAAATAACTTTTCATCACCAGTTATCTCATTCAACAATAAGGTCACCCCAAAATAAGTCACCAGCAGGGTCTGAGCTCTGGATCTTCCTATCCCCAGCACAGACCTCTACCTACTTGAACTATAGGAGTAATTATCCTCCATGTGGACTAGCCACTAAAGGGGGGAACCTAAATTACCTAAGACAATTTTGCCAGACTGTTAACCAGCTATTTGTTAGACAGCAGTAGAATATTAGATCAGGATTCCTGGGTTCTATCTCTGGCTCTGGAAAGGGACTGGCATGTACTGGTTAGATAGGATAATCAAAATACATAGTTTTGGCACATTCACCCTGAAAAGCAGTGTTGCAAAGTGGCTAAAACTTGATTCTGCTATATTACAGACCTCTGTTTTCTTCCCAATTCTCCTTGAAGTGACTTTGGATAATCTGTTAATTTATCTGCACAATGGGAGATTGATACTTGACTGCCTTCTAGGGTTGGGATATGAGGCCATGGTCAGTAATAAAGTCCGAAATGGACTGAAATACTAACAGCAATCAGTAGAGGTGAGGTTTGAAATTATGGTCTTTTGGCTCCCAGCTCAGTACACTTTTGCCTAGTTTACAGAATATTTGGTGGCAGGAGAATCTCCCTGAGAAACACTGCCTGGTACAGGCAGCCGGATTTAACCAAAATGCAGAATGGACCATAAAATCTAGTATCCTTGTGAGGTCTGAGGTGTGTCCTCACTTCAACCTGGTTTCAGGAGATGTGTATCCAGAGGAGAAGTTTCCTCCTACTGTAATGCCAACTGCTTTTGCTAGCTGCAGAAGTGAGGACAAGCTTTATTGCAAGTGTAAGTCTACAATATTGGTGAATGTCATTCCCCGTTTATGAACTAGTAGCCTGTGTTACAGAAGCTTTATCTGGCTGCATTAGTAAACACACTGGAAACCTCATTTTTTCCTGAACTGTTTGCTGGCAACCTATTTCCCCAGCACCTGGGGAACTACTGATGAATACCTTTAAAAATTGAAAATACCTATTTTTTTTTTTAAATGTAATGCTCAAAAGTAAGACTAGAGTAGCCAGTACTAGGGATGAGGCACAAATGGAATCATATGGACCCTACAAATGAAAGTCCTAATTCCCTGGCATTGGTCCCCATAGTGAATCACATTAGTAACATCGGACAGTAACAATTAAGAATAAATGTGATTCTCCAAGTTTAGCCCAATAAACTCACCTCTATAGGAGTGCCACAACAAGGGCAGGCCTTTGAGTTCTTTTCTAGCCATTCTCTACTTTCCATCTCCTCAAGGGCTTTCTGAATCACTCTTTTGCCATAGCGCTGCTCCAAAAATATTTTAGTGGCCTCATCTGCTTCTTGGTACTCATTACGCAAATCCATTAGCTTTTCTAAGGAGTGAAATAAAGACAGAAGAACACATTAGCCTTACATACCGCACTGCATATGGAAGTCACACTCTTAGCTAAAACGATGAGCCAAACTCATTGTAAACATGATCCAGGAGATTCCAAAGATTGCAAGGGACAAGAGGATTCCAAAAACCCTGCTAGGAGAATGAGGCAGCAACAGCCACCCAGAAGTTCCACCCAGCTGCTGACACTAGTATAATCTACTACCTCTCAGCTGTGGAAACTCCAGGACCAACAAAACAAAACACATCAGGGACAAACACTTTATACTTTTTTTAAGCATGTTATGTTTGAGATCCTCAAACAAGATGTTCCTTGTACTATTTCATAAATATCTGCTCAATATGCAGCTGAAGTTAAAAAAGCAAACAAAATGGTAGGATGCATGAGGAACAGAATAAAAGTTTATATTGAAAATATTGCAATTCCATCATATGAATCACCCTCGCTGGGAATGCTGTGTTCTAGCCACCCTACCTCAAAAAACTTAAAGTGGAAATAAAAGCTTTGTGACCAAAACAATTACAGGCATGGAAAAAAAATTCATATGACATGAGACTGAAAAGATTAGGATTGTTTAGTTCAGAGGGGAGATGAATAAGAGTGTACACGATAAAGGTATACAGAACAACCAGTAGAAAGAAGGTAGATTAGACACTTGTATTTACCCTCTCTTGTAATTAGGACCGTCAATAAAACTGAAATAGGTAGCATATTAAAAATTGATACAAGGAAATATTTTTTGCTAACACCATACATTTAGTGGAACTATCGCAAGACATCAAGGCCAAATGCTCAACAAAATTCAAAAAAAGGAATGGACATTTATATTGTGGCAAGATGGCTGATGTTAGTATGGGGGGTCCTGCGCTTTTCTTGGCAGGGGGCCTAACACGCCACCTCTTGCCCCTGGTCTTGGGCAGCCGAGGTCCTCGCTAGTGGCCCAGGAAGGTGGTAGAGGAGGGAAGCGGGGAAGGGGTCTGGGTTTGCTCCTCACTCTGAGCCCCAGCCCCTCTCAACTCCTGTGGGTTCTTACCCTCTTCCTCCTTGGGTGGGGAACCTTCGGTCCTTAAACGTTGGGGGAGGAAGTCTCCCTCCTCTTCTGGGGCAGGGTCTCCCTTACTTTGGTTCTCTGGTCTTTCAAATCTTACAACACACCTCCAAGCTCCAGTCTTCTCTCCTTCCTCCTCTTCCCTTAACTGCCTGAAGCAGGGGGGTTTATTAGGTTCCTGACAGGTCCTAACTGACTACAGGTGCTCCAATTAACCTGTAGCAACCCTCCCTAGTCTACAGGGAACCACTCCTTAATTAGCCTAGGGCTTATATATTTCTCCTCTATCACTGCTCCCTGGCCCTCCTGTATCACAATATGGATAATATTTTGAGTTACACTAGTATTAAAATGTCTGGAATATAAACCCTCATGCTTCATGGCATATGGGTAAACTCCTTAAAAGCTGGAAGAAATTTCCTGGGGACATGTTATTCCATAAATTTTAGGGTTTCTTGCCCTACCCTCAAGCATTTGCCACCAGCTACTGTGGGAAACAGGAATGTACCCTGTGTATCGTATTTCCCTCTAAGTAATCAATACTAATTTTCTTTTTAAAAAATCCTCAAGATATACAAATGGGTATAGTAAGCAACTACAATGCCATAACCACTGTCCTTCTAAACTGTGTCATTTGTTCATCTAACTTGTTGCAGCATGTCTAGCCATTCAACTGTAAACTCTTCAGGGCAGAGGCCAGCTCTTCAACTACATTTAACCTCTCATCCCCACTACACAGAGAGTCCTACCACACAAACGGATGTGTCAACTCACTTACCCCTTACTATAACAGATACAGAAGTAGAAATGTTTCCGAGTGTCTACTTAATGTCACTGTATTCTACAATGAAAACTGCAATTCACTTTGTGTTCCACTGCCAAAACAGTGCAACTCACCTGCAGTGATTTTACATAGAGAGACTCCATGATAAGTCATTTTACAGAGGGTACAGAAGGCATAGTTGCAACGGGAACATATGCCCATGGTGCAACCTGGCTCTTGCATCACAGGAGTCTGACAGCATGGACGAGGACAATATACCACGTCTGTCATCAAGTCCAAGCTGGACTGCAGAAGTAGGCGATCATAACGTGCAAACAACTCCTCTCCAACCAGTTCCTTAACCTAAACAAAGACCAAACAACATTATATTTGCTGGATTCAGACGTTCAATCTATTAGCTCTGGTAGAAAAAACTTTAGGACATGAGCACCAACAACTAGCTTAAATTTGCTTTAGCACATTTTAAACATTACTCTCATTCTGATCAGGAGATTACTGCAATAATCAGAGAGAAAGTATACAAGTTATTGATGATACTCTAAATCTGCAGCCACTGCACATAACAGTGGTGGATTAATGATTTTGCCACCCCAGGCCCTGAAATAATTGCCGCATCCCCTCTCCCCCCCCAAGGCTCCCGGCCCCCACACTGCAGCTCACCTCTGCTCCGACTCCTCCCCTGAGGGCACCGCCAGGTCCTGCTTCTCCCCGCTCCCTGCCAATGCTTGTGTGCGAAACAGCTTCGCAAAGGAGGGGGAAGGAGGGGGGAAAACGCGGCCCGCTCAGGAGAGATGGCGGGGATTTGAGGAAGGGGACCAATAGGGGCAGGGAGGGGGCGGGGAAGGGGTGGAGTTGGGGCAGGGGGTGCAAACCAACACTGTGGGAGGCAGCCTCTCGGTGCTATTATAAATTTGCCGGCCTAGGCCTTGGCCTTGTCAGCCTAGGCGTTAATATGCCGCTGGCACATAATCATCTTAAATATTCTGAAGAACAGATTCACTAGCAATTCAAATCCCAGGCACTGACAGTTTAGAGTCACATAGTGAAAACAATGAGCACAATCAGTGGGATCATGTCAATTCAAACTGGTGTCCAAGACATCTGAAATTAATAGTGGGCAAAACTGGTGCCAGGTGATCTAATTTTAACTCAGAAGCATGTAAGTAGTCTCTGGGTAGCATGAAAAAACTCTGTGCTTTAATTACTATGGTTTGAGCAAAAATCCGTTATATACAATTCAGCTTTATTAGTAAGCTAGAGGTGTGCATGCACTGATTACATACTTCTGCTATTACCTGGCCAGGAGTAGCAACAGAAGAACACTTTGGTTCTGGACAGCTGAGGCAGTGGACCTGGCCATCCCTGATCTGAATTTCAAAGTAGTCCTTTAAACAGGATTTGCAGTATATATGCCTGCACTCCATGAAGTACATACATTCACTACCCAGCTTCTCAGAAAAGCAGATGCTGCAAAAGAACATCTTGCTGTTAAAGCATTTTTTCTGCTGAGCCTGATCAAAGTCCAAGATTTCCCTTATCAGACTTGACAGAGACTCCACATCCTGGACAGCTCTTTCATCAAGGATTTCTTCTTGTGCTGTTGCAGCACCTGCTGCGCCACAACAATCCAGCTCAGAGTTCACAGGAAACAGAGATGTCCTGCTCTGCCCATTTTCTTGACGGCACATTTTTAGTTCATATGGGGAGGTGATGTTCAGGTAAGCTAGAGTTTCTTCCTTAAGAAATTGCATCCAGGCAAACAAGACCACACAGCCTCGGTTCTCTTCCCACAAGTTGTCTAAGTGCTTGCAAAGTGCAGTAAGCTAGAAAAGAAAAGTTTGAGCTTAGAACCCAAAAAGAATAGCTCCATCTTCCAACAACTCCTGACTCATCTTAGAACAATTTCCCTCTCATGTGGTACCTTTTAAGGCAGCTTCAGATTTCAAGTTTAGGCCATGAACTAATTTAGTTTAACCAGGTCTTTGTTGTTTGTACTCATTGGGAAATAACAAGAGAGCATAATTTTACATCCTCACCTGATCACCTGCTAACCTCCAAAGCAAAAATCTTCAGTCTACACCTTACCCTATACAGAAAATGAACTAAGTCAGCTGCATTACAAAATATTAGGAAGTATTGCAAGTAATGGTAAAGAAATGTAGATTTAGAAATAAAAATCATATGATGTGATAAGTAACTTAGATAACAGTTCTATATGCTTTACTGCATAGATTAAACAACATTTGCTTCAAGGTGACCTAGCTAAAATACTTTTAATACGTGTATGGGGCCCTGCCTTTTTATGTTTAAAGAAAGCCTGAATAGTTTGTTTTCAGGTCTCTCTCCGGCTGGATTTTCCCCTCAGAATTTTGAATATCATCTTGCCTTCTTCATAAAATCATAAGGCAGCAAAAATGGACACCTAATTTCCCATCAGCTTTGCAGTCACTTTTAAACTTATAAATTAAAAGCCACCTGTAGCATAATCAGAACTCATTTCCTTTCAAGTGAATAGGTAAGAACACTCTAATTACTGCCAGACCGATATACTGATCTAGATATTTTGGGTTACAGGAGGAAGTTATTTTTAGTGAATATCAAAAAGTAACTATGATGCATATTTAACAATCTCAGCTTTGAAGTTCTGAGTTTAATGAAAGAAATCAGCCTCATTATTCTGACTGGACTAAATGTAGCACATTTGGAAGTCAATTCAAGATTCAGCGAACTACTCACCTCTGGTTTTAAGTAGAATGCTTTAAATGTTTTATCATCTGATGTACTTCAATTGTGTTATTTTAAACATTAAAATCTGTATATACAATAGATATTACATGCCTGCACTAATTCATACAGCATTTGCCTTTTGGGCTTTCATTATCAAACACTGAACGCATTCTAATGTTGTGTACTGGAACCGACATCTGCTTTGTACCAGAGACTTCCCCCTCTTCTACTTCTGCCTGACTTACAGTGAAATTTTAGTACCCAGTTTTATATAATTATCTTAGTAATTTAAATGTAGTTAGAATATGAGTATTCTGCTTATCTTGGAACTAGCTTTATTTGTTACGAGTGTCAGTTCACTGGCAGCAGTGCAGTTTGAAAACAGTCTGAATTCTTAGCTGATTAGCAAGTTCCCATTCATAACCTTCTTTTCCGAATTATACTAACCAATCACTGCTCATACATTGCAACAGCTCATGCTACAATTACTGCATGTTAATTCAGACAATGTTTACTGCTGTTTCAGCAAAAGTCAAGTTAACTCAAATGTGATCACCTCATGTGAGTTCACATTTCCCAAAGAATAAAAGCTGGACATGTTAATTGGATGTTGTTTGCTCTGAAAAAGCCTAATCTATGGGAAGAAATTGCTTCTCTATCTTCCTCCCTGATATTTTATACAGCAGACTGTAGAAGGAAAATAAATGTTATCTTTATTAACAAAGTATAATTTACAAACAAGGGACACCCATCCACATACCAAGGTTTGTGTTGCTCTTACTAAACTGGCCACTGCTCAGCAATGAACTCTACGTGCACAATTAGTTGTATTATCAGGCACCATGTTTTGATCACACTATTCAGTGTAATTATTTGTACACTGCCTACCACAATGGAGCTGGCCTGTAGATGCTACTGTAATACAATAATAGCATACAACAAATAAAGGCCTATGCAACTGAAATTTTAGTTAATTTGTGTGAAAAAATCTAGATGACATGCTTGTTTCATATAAACTCACTACTGCACAGTAAGGAATTTAATAGATATAGCTGCATGTTAGACAATCAAAGGATATCAGCTATGTTGCAAATACCCGGTAACATTAATGCAATAATAAAGAGTTCAATTGGAAGTATCCAGATAGGTTATACCCACTGTACCCAAACATAATGGATGCATTCTTCTACCTATGAAAAGATATGGGTTGTTGTCCTGTATAATTTCACTACTTAATGCAGGTTTTTGGTTTGTGTAATTTTAAAAAAATGTATACATTTCATACACAGTTAGTTCTGATAATGTGGTTTTGAATAAGCAAATTCAAAATGCTTTTAAGTTTCATTATGTTTATAATCCAGTTGCTCTCTTTCTTGCAAGTTTGAAATTGAAGTGTCCTCAGTGAAGACTGCTCTCTATCCACACCTGCATCCTGGATTGTTATTTTTGGATTGCTCACAAATGCTGAGTTAATAGCATCACATGTTTACAAACATCAGAAAAGGCAGGTTAAATTCTGGGGCTATCAATCCTAACAGCATCTCTTTAATCTAGCATTGCCTTTATCAGCCTTTGGATCTCAAGATCTTTAGCTGCTATTGACAGAGCTATGACTCCCTGCAGAGATTTTAAAAATACATACACTTGTGCGTTCTTTCACTAAATATTTTTGTTCAAGAAAATATTTTACAGTAAATAGTTAAATAGTAAAAAAAAAACCCTCTTAAATAGAAAAAAAAAAGTATTTCAAGAAGAATGCTTATACATGAATGAATACCTGCCCTTAAATGGTGGAAGGCACCTAAGTCTCATGACACAATACAAAAAAATTTCAGATATAGGCTGTATTTGCATAGTACGGTGTATATATATTCACATGTACCTACTCTATAACGCACAGGATATAAGCAGAGATGAAACAGGACATCGAATTGCTATGATTGGGATTTTCAAAAGCAGCTAAAGGCCAGACTTCCAAATAGGTGCCTATAAACACAGATAAGCATCAATAAGAATTATAAAAGCACCTAAAGCAAGTTAGGTGCCTAATTCCCATTCATTTCAATGGGTGTTAATCACCTAGGCACTTCTAAAAATACCACTATGCATCCCTCTGAATCTTTAGTACCTTTAAAATTCTGGCCATAAGTGACTTAGGAACACAGTCACATTTTCAAAATTGACTTCAGCACTTAAGAGCCTAAGTTTCACTGACTGTCAATGAGACTTGGGCTCTTAAGTCACTTAAATGATTTAGCAGCCTAAATTCTATTGATTTTCTATGGGACTTGTGCACCTAAGTAATTAAGATGCTTTTGAAAATCCCATCCTTTATCCTTAAGAATCTTGCAGCATGAAGAGAAAAAGACTGTTGCCAAAGGGCACCAATAAAAACTACTCCTTATACAATTCATTAGAAGTATGTATTATACTCCATGATGCTAATGGTTTCCTCCAACTGAACCTGGATGTTAAAAGCAAAGTTCTATCCAACTATTCCTTCACCTGCTGCATTTACAACTATTAGAGTATTAATTATAAAGAATTTTTTTATGTTCCTGAAAGGGACAAGAAGTGTCAAAAAGATTTTAAAACAAACCTGAGCCCGGGAGAGCCACTTGCTGCTGAGTGTGAACACAGGTGGAGAGACTGATGGGTAATCTGGTGGGAGTTCAAAATTCAACACAAGTGGAGGCAGAAAGCAAACTGTGTATTCAAATCCACTGTTCTGGAGACACTCTGTGGTACTTCCTGAATGAAAGACAGTTGATTGACGCAAATTGAGAGAGATCAACAGAACTATAATTCTAGGTGTTGCAGTCTCATAAAGTTTAACTGTATGATAAAGTTCCCAAGAAACCTCTTTTCATTTGATAAATGTTTAGTTTAACTGCTTTACTGAGACTTAAGTAAACAATGTGCCTTTTTAGTGCTACAACATTTCATAAACAGTTGTGGCTGGAGGCTGAATTAGTGAATATTGACTTTGCTAATACCATGATCTGTCAGATAAATTACAAACCAGATAGTCTGGAAAGGCAAATCCTCAAGAATAAGAGTAAATATACTTTGTTGTTCTAACAACAAGAAAAGGAACAAGCCTCTCTAATTTTATCATTTATCACTGACAGTTTTCCTTAGAGAAAAAGCGAATTCATATTTCAGAGGTCTTTCCAGAGAAAGGAGTGTCTAGTGGACAGAGCACAGCATTGTGGATCTGTCAGTGTTTCACTGTACAGTCTTGGACAAATAACAGTTAATAGGTAAACTGAAGCAGAGGCACCTCTGATGGAGTTAATACGCACTTGACAGATTGGGAAACTTAAAAGGACACAATTAATTTGAAAAATAGTCAAATTAAAAACAGAGTTAAAAGTAATTTCAAGTCCCTCTGCCAAATGTTTAAAAGTGTGGGTTTGTTATTTGTTACTTGTGTTGCTGAGTTTGGCCCATACAAACAAGGGAAACTGAATGATTGCATATGGGAACCAAGGAAGCAGCTACACATGCACAATGGTGTCAAATACACAAATTAAAACACCCGAACAAATACAAAAAATTATTTTCTTGAAACTAACAGTTATAGTAATGCTCGGTGTTACCTGTAACAGTAGGCAATTTTTTTTTTCCAAAGAGAAGTATCATTTTAAAATTGACAGTGTCGTTTAACCAATATTTCAAAACTCAGTCTCAAATGAAAGGCAGTACAGAAATGCAATGCAGTGCAATCCAAAAGCACACCAGATAGATAAATTAATACTTAAAGATCTAGATTAGTTTACTCCATGGGTCCCCCTTGGTCTAATAATGCTCAATTCACACAAAAATATTCCAACTTTAAATTAAAATATTTTAGAAAAAAAAAAGTATTTTGAAATACTACAGATGAAGTCTCCTTAGCAAGTAATTTGAACAAACCATTAAAAATTCCATTCTAGGAAGCTACTATATTTGAAATTTAAAAGTCCACCCTCTTTAGTTTTGATCTTTAAGAGTGATGTGCAAATACTTAAAGCAAGAATTACATTCTGAAGTTACAACGATGAGTGATACCCATCCCAGCTGTAATGTGTGATAAATTGTTCATGGCCTCAAAGTTCTAAGAAGAGAAAATGAAAAATGTTTGGGTAACCACCTTTAGAACATATTTTAATAAAAATTAATTTAAAGATAATGCAAAACATCCGGACTCACCACTCACAAATATTTTGAAGTTTTGGGGCAACTCCAGACAAATTCTTGTTTCTCCTCCTTGGAGAGAGTCTACCCTCTTAAATTCATCTTCATCATAAATACTAGCTAGAGCCAGCAGCTCATCCTCCTGAGCTTCCTTATCTTCTGAAGACATTTAACTTTTCTGCAAAATTAAGAAAACCACCCAAAAAAATGAGTTAGGACTAAACAGACAAGTCAAACAGTCTGTTAATGTATATATTTAATGTTATTGGAATCAAATTTACAAGAAACAATAAAACATGAAAATACTACCAAACAATTACTCTTTCTTCAGGTTAAAGATCCTGCACATGTTCTATCATTTGTTGGCAGTTTTAAAGTTATAAAAAAATGGCTCTCTTCCAAACTTTGATAATGAGAGACCAACCCTTAGAACTGGAGTGCGCAAACTACGGCTGGTGGGCCACTTCTGGCCCATCAGACGTTTTTATCCAGCCCTCAAGCTCCCACCGGGGTCGGGGGCTTGTGCTGTTCTGCACACCCAGTGCTCCTGCCGGGGAGTGGAGTCAGGGGCTTGCCCCGCTCTGCCCACCCGGCGCTCCCCAGCCCCAACTCATAATTCTCTTGATGAGCACCATCTTCCAGCACACAGAGCCACACTGTGCAGGTGCGACCTCACCGCACTGTTTCCAGGATTGGAACCCCGCTCCTACGCAGCAGCACCTTTTCCCCCGTCCCTCCCACGTGGCAGCATGCCCAATCCCCCATGGTCTCCTATGGCCCCATCCTCGAGAGCCTTGAAACCACCCAGGGGCTGCACCCATCCCAGCTAGGGTGCCTCCACCTGTGGTGGTGCCTGGTACAGCTGCCTTGGTGTCACTGCCAGCAGGGCTCCTAGGAGTCCCCAGTACCACCCCTGTAGAGCTATCCCCCCCCCCCCCACGCTACACCCCATGAGTCCTCCCTTCCCCCCCTCGGTAACATCCCTTATAGAGCCCTCCCATGCTACACCCCATAAAGTCCCCCTCCTTCACCGGGCATTCCTGGCCCGCCATACAATTTCCATACCCAGATGCGGCCCTCAGGCCAAAAGATTTGCCCACCCCGCCTGAGAAAGTCAGAGGCTGAAGAACACTATAGAATGAAATATGCAATGGAGTGTTAATAGTATCAAGATGGCACTTTGTTAATGCTTGAGATAGAAACCACAGACCAAAGAAGGGACAAAGACAGAAGGGGGGGGCGAAGGAAGTAGTAACAGTGTAGCGCTCTTCCAGTAGGCTGGCTATGACCTACCGGGTACATCTAAAAATATATTTTTGATTAAAATTATTTCAAAATGACAAGCAAGAACACACGGACCCCCAAACAGACATCAAGTTGGTGCATTTCTATACCGTTTCAGTAAACAATTTAAAGGAGCTCTTTTAAAAAAATCTTTGCAATTTCATTACCTTTTCCGTTACAATTGCAAAACAGTAGCAACTAGAGTTGCAGGTACTGTTAGTGACCCAGCACAGCCACGTAAGGAAGGCCAGGGCATAGACACTGCTCATTCTTCTGAGGGAACTGGAAGTCACAAGCTTTTCCTGTGGGGAAGCAAGAAGACTGTAGGTTCTGCTGCCAAGACAGGCATGGTGATGAAGCTCAGTATTTGTCTGCTGCCTATAACAAAAAAATAGAGGGATTAAAATCCTCTCAGCATTTCCATTATGAGCTGCTGTTATCAACAGTTTCACTCAAGTGAGCCTTGGCATGCACACTCAATGACTAAGAGGTTTTTTTTGTTTGTTTTTTTTAAAAGCTTTCGATAGTACACATCCCAATTATGCATGTAAGTCCTAATCCTGCTGTCTATATCTATTAGTGCAGACCCATGGGCTGAGTACAGTTCCACTGAAGTCAATGGGGTTCCATGCTAGTAGATCCAATTGCAGGATTGGGGGCTTATCTGATTACAGCTCAGAAAAACTGCTCACTGGCAAATAGTGATGGGTCGGAAGAGATCTGTTTCAAACCATTTGAACTTATCCATGAGATTCAAATGATTAAATAATACTTTTGAAAGAAGTCCATTCTTGTATACTTCTATTTTTGTAAATATAACCAAGAAAGGTGCATTTAAAAACAAAACAAACAAACGAGATACAAGTCCAATTCAAACCCTTACACACTAGGAAACTCAGAGTTTAATTATGTAAATCTGAAATCACTCCTTTCCTTTAACATACCACTGTGCCTAGCATATAAAGAACTCTGCTAACTCTCACTTGGTTAATGCAACAGAACAACAATTCTCAGAAGGACCTGCATGGTCTCACCATGTTTCCAAACAAAACAAATAATACATAGTTTAAAACTACAACTCTCAAAAGCGATGATTAAAGTACACTTTGTGATACAATGCTCTTGATTTCACGACCTGTTTACTTATTAATTTGCAATGGGCGTTCCAATCATCAGTGCAAGTCAGATGTAAAAGACTGAGTATGTCTTTCTGGTCTCATGCTATGCCTACATTGCAACCAGAGGCATGATTTACAGTTTGTGTAGACGTACCCAGGCTAGCTTTAATCTAATTAATTTACTTAAGAAGGCAGCAAGGATGTAGTGGTCTGGGCTGTCCAAACCCACTGTGGTCCCTGGCTATGTACTTGCACGACTAGCCCACGCTGACATGTCTCTGCAGCTATTTTAAACAACTTAGCTAGATGAAAGATGGCGCACGTACATCTACACAAGATGAAAATTACACCTTGGTTGCAGTGTAGATATAATCTCAGGCCTGGTTTACACATAAAAATTAGAACAACCGAGCTACAGTGCTGTGCTGCGAGAAGTTACATGTTCTGAAGACTGTGGCTATGTTAACAGAAGAATTCTTCTATTGACCCATCTATAACCTCTGAGTGATGAATTAGTTACACCACCAAAAAAATCCCTTTCGTTGTAGGAAGTGTCTACACTAGAGTGGCGTAGCGGCAGCACCTAGTTGTAGACCAAATATGGCCTCAAGGTCCTGCAACACTTAGAGCTTGTTTTTGCTGTAGTTGTTATAACTCAAGGGTTGCCCCCAACACAACACCTGTCCATGCACAAAGACCTTAACTCAAGTGCAGTGACACTTCACTCAAGTTGGCTGGCTGGTCAGGGGATACAGCTCAACTTGAACAACCTCTCAGCTGCTCACAAAATTGCACTGTCCAGCTCAAGTAGTATTTCCAAGTACCAGCGTGGCCACTCTTGCTGGAGCAGTTAACTCTAGCGTAGACAAGTTGCGTTAACGCCACAGATCCCCACAAACTCCAAAGCAGTGTCAGACACAGAACACGCATCACCCAGGATAAAGACGACTCTCATATGCACAGATTAAAGGATTGTGAGATAACAAGAGGGAACAGAGAGTTTGAAAGGAGATTTTCGGCCTGGGAAGTACACCCCTAACAGGTAACTCCAAGGGGACTTCAGGACAGAAGAGTCAGGCCCTTGATTCTTAGACAGGTTTCAGAGTAACAGCCGTGTTAGTCTGTATTCGCAAAAAGAAAAGGAGTACTTGTGGCACCTTAGAGACTAACCAATTTATTTGAGCATGAGCTTTCGTGAGCTACAGCTCACTTCATTGGATGCATACCATGGAAACTGCAGCAGACTTTATATATACACAGAGAATATGAAACAATACCTCCTCCCACCCCACTGTCCTGCTGGTAATAGCTTATCTAAAGTGATCATCAGGTGGGCCCTTTCCAGCACAAATCCAGGTTTTCTCACCCTCCACCCCCCCCACACAAATTCACTCTCCTGCTGGTGCTAGCCCATCCAAAGTGACAACTCTTTACATAATCAAGTCGGGCGATTTCCTGCACAAATCCAGGTTTTCTCACATCCCCCCCACCCCCATACACACACAAACTCACTCTCCTGCTGGTAATAGCTCATCCAAACTGACCACTCTCCAAGTTTAAATCCAAGTTAAACCAGAACATCTGGGGGGGCGGGGGGGGGGTAGGAAAAAACAAGAGGAAACAGGCTACCTTGCATAATGACTTAGCCACTCCCAGTCTCTATTTAAGCCTAAATTAATAGTATCCAATTTGCAAATGAATTCCAATTCAGCAGTTTCTCGCTGGAGTCTAGATTTGAAGTTTTTTTGTTTTAAGATAGCGACCTTCATGTCTGTGATTGCGTGACCAGAGAGATTGAAGTGTTCTCCGACTGGTTTATGAATGTTATAATTCTTGACATCTGATTTGTGTCCATTTATTCTTTTACGTAGAGACTGTCCAGTTTGACCAATGTACGTGGCAGAGGGGCATTGCTGGCACATGATGGCATATATCACATTGGTGGATGTGCAGGTGAACGAGCCTCTGATAGTGTGGCTGATGTTATTAGGCCCTGTGATGGTGTCCCCTGAATAGATATGTGGGCACAATTGGCAACGGGCTTTGTTGCAAGGATAAGTTCCTGGGTTAGTGGTTCTGTTGTGTGGTATGTGGTTGTTGGTGAGTATTTGCTTCAGGTTGCGGGGCTGTCTGTAGGCAAGGACTGGCCTGTCTCCCAAGACTTGTGAGAGTGTTGGGTCATCCTTTAGGATAGGTTGTAGATCCTTAATAATGCGTTGGAGGGGTTTTAGTTGGGGGCTGAAGGTGACCGCTAGTGGCGTTCTGTTATTTTCTTTGTTAGGCCTGTCCTGTAGTAGGTAACTTCTGGGAACTCTTCTGGCTCTATCAATCTGTTTCTTTACTTCTGCAGGTGGGTATTGTAGTTGTAAGAAAGCTTGACAGAGATCTTGTAGGTGTTTGTCTCTGTCTGAGGGGTTGGAGCAAATGCGGTTGTATCGCAGAGCTTGGCTGTAGACGATGGATCGTGTGGTGTGGTCAGGGTGAAAGCTGGAGGCATGCAGGTAGGAATAGCGGTCAGTAGGTTTCCGGTATAGGGTGGTGTTTATGTGACCACTGTTTATTAGCACTGTAGTGTCCAGGAAGTGGATCTCTTGTGTGGATTGGACCAGGCTGAGGTTGGTGGTGGGATGGAAATTGTTGAAATCATGGTGGAATTCCTCAAGGGCTTCTTTTCCATGGGTCCAGATGATGAAGATGTCATCAATATAGCGCAAGTAGAGTAGGGGCTTTAAGGGACGAGAGCTGAGGAAGCGTTGTTCTAAATCAGCCATAAAAATGTTGGCATACTGTGGGGCCATGCGGGTACCCATAGCAGTGCCGCTGATCTGAAGGTATACATTGTCCCCAAATGTGAAATAGTTATGGGTAAGGACAAAGTCACAAAGTTCAGCCACCAGGTTAGCCGTGACATTATCGGGGGTAGTGTTCTTGACGGCTTGTAGTCCATCTTTGTGTGGAATGTTGGTGTAGAGGGCTTCTACATCCATAGTGGCCAGGATGGTGTTATCAGGAAGATCACCGATGGATTGAAGTTTCCTCAGGAAGTCAGTGGTGTCTCGAAGGTAGCTGGGAGTGCTGGCAGCGTAGGGCCTGAGGAGGGAGTCTACATAGCCAGACAATCCTGCTGTCAGGGTGCCAATGCCTGAGATGATGGGGCGCCCAGGATTTCCAGGTTTATGGATCTTGGGTAGTAGATAGAATATCCCAGGTCGGGGTTCCAGGGGTGTGTCTGTGCGGATTTGATCTTGTGCTTTTTCAGGAAGTTTCTTGAGCAAATGCTGTAGTTGCTTTTGGTAACTCTCAGTGGGATCATAGGGTAATGGCTTGTAGAAACTCGTGTTGGAGAGCTGCCGAGCAGCCTCTTGTTCATATTCCGACCTATTCATGATGACAACAACACTACAGTGCTAATAAACAATGGTCACATAAACACCACCCTATACCGGAAACCTACTGACCGCTATTCCTACCTGCATGCCTCCAGCTTTCACCCTGACCACACCACACGATCCATCGTCTACAGCCAAGCTCTGCGATACAACCGCATTTGCTCCAACCCCTCAGACAGAGACAAACACCTACAAGATCTCTGTCAAGCTTTCTTACAACTACAATACCCACCTGCAGAAGTAAAGAAACAGATTGATAGAGCCAGAAGAGTTCCCAGAAGTTACCTACTACAGGACAGGCCTAACAAAGAAAATAACAGAACGCCACTAGCGGTCACCTTCAGCCCCCAACTAAAACCCCTCCAACGCATTATTAAGGATCTACAACCTATCCTAAAGGATGACCCAACACTCTCACAAGTCTTGGGAGACAGGCCAGTCCTTGCCTACAGACAGCCCCGCAACCTGAAGCAAATACTCACCAACAACCACATACCACACAACAGAACCACTAACCCAGGAACTTATCCTTGCAACAAAGCCCGTTGCCAATTGTGCCCACATATCTATTCAGGGGACACCATCACAGGGCCTAATAACATCAGCCACACTATCAGAGGCTCGTTCACCTGCACATCCACCAATGTGATATATGCCATCATGTGCCAGCAATGCCCCTCTGCCACGTACATTGGTCAAACTGGACAGTCTCTACGTAAAAGAATAAATGGACACAAATCAGATGTCAAGAATTATAACATTCATAAACCAGTCGGAGAACACTTCAATCTCTCTGGTCACGCAATCACAGACATGAAGGTCGCTATCTTAAAACAAAAAAACTTCAAATCTAGACTCCAGCGAGAAACTGCTGAATTGGAATTCATTTGCAAATTGGATACTATTAATTTAGGCTTAAATAGAGACTGGGAGTGGCTAAGTCATTATGCAAGGTAGCCTGTTTCCTCTTGTTTTTTCCTACCCCCCCCCCCCCCCCAGATGTTCTGGTTTAACTTGGATTTAAACTTGGAGAGTGGTCAGTTTGGATGAGCTATTACCAGCAGGAGAGTGAGTTTGTGTGTGTATGGGGGTGGGGGGATGTGAGAAAACCTGGATTTGTGCAGGAAATCGCCCGACTTGATTATGTAAAGAGTTGTCACTTTGGATGGGCTAGCACCAGCAGGAGAGTGAATTTGTGTGGGGGGGTGGAGGGTGAGAAAACCTGGATTTGTGCTGGAAAGGGCCCACCTGATGATCACTTTAGATAAGCTATTACCAGCAGGACAGTGGGGTGGGAGGAGGTATTGTTTCATATTCTCTGTGTATATATAAAGTCTGCTGCAGTTTCCACGGTATGCATCCAATGAAGTGAGCTGTAGCTCACGAAAGCTCATGCTCAAATAAATTGGTTAGTCTCTAAGGTGCCACAAGTCCTCCTTTTCTTTTTGCGATTCTTAGACAGTTTTCCAACCCTTTCCCCAGCCAGCCCCTCTCCCCACACCGCTCCCCACCGTCTAGCCCCTCTCCCCGCACCGCTCCCCCCCGGCCATCCCCTCTCCCCGCACCGCTCCCCACCGTCCCCCGACCAGTCCCTCCTCCCTTGCCTTAGCCAGCCCCACACCACTTCCCACCCTTGGCCCAACCCACCCCCTTCCCTCACTGCTGTTCCCCCCCCCCCGGCCTTGTTCCAGGCCGCCCCACGTCGCCCCCCCGCTGCCGTCACAGCGCCTCCCAGGCTCCCAGCTCTGCGCACCTCGGCCCGCTCGCTCCGCTCTCAGCGCCGGCCCCAGTCGAGGCGCGGAAAGCGGTCGGGCCTACTCCGCGGGACTCCCTGTCCCCGGCTCTCACCTGGGCCCGCGGGCGGGCGGCCTCCACCCCTCACCTCGCAGCCGGGCCCGGGCGCGGCCGCCGCGGGTGAGCTCTAAGCAGCGCCGCTCGGAGCCAGCGCCGCCTACAGGCGGGAGGCGGGCCCGGCGGGGCGGGGCGGGGCCGCCTACAGGACCCGAGGGGTGGGGAGAAGTCAGCGGCCGGCGCGCACGCGTTGAGGGGAAGGCCGGAGCGGCCCTTGTCTGTGGGCGACCCGCGTGGGCTTGAGGCGGCGGAGACGTGCGGCACCCGAGCTTGGCTTTTCCGTAACTGCGAGCCTGGAGAGCCGGGGCAGGAACGAGCCCTCGTGCACTCCGGCGCTGGAGGCTGCTGCGTGATCGATTAGGAAGCACCACAGCCCGTCTGCAGCAGTAGATGTGACTTCGGTTTAAACGCTGTTGCATAGAGAGCTCAGGCTGTGATTCTCTGATCGAGCCCCGCCGCGGTGGGACATGTCGTTTAAACAGGCTCCACGCGGAGCGGCTCAGCCTCCTCGCCCTCAGGCCGCTGTTTTGGGACCCACCTCTCCTCCAGTCGTGCCCATGGGCGAGGGATACAGCGCATCCCCTTCTTAGAGCAGCAGCTCGCAGTCCTGCTGCCCTCAGAACAGCCATTCTGGGTCGTTGGATACCTAAGTTGAAACGTAGGGCTATTGCAACATTAAATTAAAACATAATGAACTGAATTATAAATGCCACTAATGGTAGGATCTCTTCATTTTGCAAAATGACCAAAGGTAAACAAAGCAATCCCACCAGATATTGCAAATTAGAGCTCTGCAGGACTTTGTGTAAGCTCAAAATTTCGTCTCGCTCACTCACAGGAGTTAATATCTTTTATTGGACCTCACCCACCTTGTCTCTCTAATATCCTGAAACAAAAAACTCTGCTTAAATTCTCTCACACTGTAAGCAATTGTTTTAATGTTTCCTTACTTAAAGTTAAAAAAAATCAATAACTTTAATATGTTAACACACAGGCCCTCAGAGACCTTATTTATGCCTTTTAGTGCAGAATTTTCAAACAAGGTGACGTTGATTTAGACAAGTTAGTCCCATTGACTTCAAAACAACACTGATGGAATACAGGTTAGCTGAAGCATATCAGTTTTGTGTACATTTGATATAGCAGAAAGGGATGGTGATTGCAAGTAAAGGCTATTTATTTACTAACTTTGAATCTATTACAGAAACTTCTGTACATCTAGGTTTACTCATAACTTAAGCAATGCTGTTTTCCTTGTAATCTTGGTTCTCCCAATGCAGTTCCTTATGTAATCTTGCCTGTTAGAAGTAAACTCTTCAGGGCAAGGACCTGATTTATTCATGGTTACACTTAATCTAATATAATAAAGACTCTAATTGCAGCCTCTGCCTACGCTTGAAAATACTTTTTGCATTGGTTAAAATACTAATCTTATGGTGACATTGCCTGTTGCCTTTGCTAGATCCACTGATGGGGAGTGGGAGGGGAGGAAGAGAGAGAATCAAATGAACAGGATTCTGTAGGTTGGTTTTTCTTTTCAGAGAATACAAATACTTTTCAGAAGTCCAAGATTTAGCCAACATCTTCAGAAGCTAAAGGAAATCAGAACTAGCTGGAGGAGGCAAGCCAACTATAGCCTGAAAAAGATTACAGAAATAGCCAGCCTTTGCACAAGATATGCCATGGTTGATCGTGTCTTGGTTCCAACCCAATTTAACTAGAGTAGTATAGGCCAGTTCCGTGCTGAAGGACTGCACAATTTCATTGTTATAATACAGCTAAAACCTTATGACTTTACTTCTGAAGTGGTTTGCCATTCTGGCTAGCATGAAGTGGTTCATCATGTATACACAGCTTGAGTCACCTCCCTCACAATTTTAGGTACAGCACAAAACTCATTATCTTATTTTTTTAATATTGTTTTAAAACAGCTTTGTATATAGAAGGCTGCCAAAATATGATTCATATTTCATGTAAAAAAGCTCAATCTTTGGTCTGTTTGCAGGATCAAATGGTGCAATAAGATTCCCAATAATGAAATTTAGTTGTTGGATGTCTGGCATTCAAAACATGCTCAGTTGCATTGGTCTGGGCATCCATTTGTACAGGTTACTCAAGAATAATAAAGGCCATATTTTATGGTCAGAAATCAAGGCACCTGGTTGTCAGGGCCAACAATATAAAAAGATACCCTAAAGTCAAACCTTAATTCATATGAGGTTGACTCCCAGCAGCTGGGAAGCAACATTCCATGACCATGCCAGATAGCAGCATATGTCATGTTGCTGTTAACCACTTTGAAGCAAGAGGCAATATGTAATATTAAAAATATGAATGCAGAGCAAGGATATGACAGCCTGTGATCTTGTGTCTTACAGATAACTGTGTTTACAGTTCTCTCATTAGTCTGATCTTGCATACATATGGTCACTTAGCATTTGCTTAATCCTCCTACATCAATATGACACTCTAGCCTCAAACAAGCTTTTTAAAAATAGGAATAAAAAAATTAAAATTGGTGGAACCGGAAGATGGAAGGAGAGATGTGTAATACTGCTGGTTTCCAGTACTGTCACTGAAGGATGAGTGGAAATATTACACGAGTGAAGTGGGAGTATTAATGGAATTAGTGTAGCTGGAGCACTCAAGTGATTCAAGCAGAACTGAGGAGAGCTGAGGCAGTTCTAAGGTTTACTCAAAGACAGTGCATTCGGAGCAGTACTTGTAATGTTTCTCAAACATTCTAAGTTTGAGTGTACAGCGCTTTTTTTTTTTTTTAAAAGTGTTTCCAGCACTTGAAATGGGTGTTGTAAATACTGTCAACTGTAGGATTAGCCTCAAGGTAACTCTTAACAGGCACTTTACAGGAAATATTGCACAAATGGTGGTATTTAACAGCAAGTTTATTAGCCAGAACCCTTTACCTTAAGATATTAAGATGTATACTATTTCTGAAGCCCCATAAAATGGATTTAAGTGAGCTATTGTAGAAGCACAATGTTCTAATGGAATTTTTTTTAATTAAAAGGAATACCATTCAATTCTTGCATTTGTCTGGAAAGAGAAAATGGAACAGTTTGTACACACTGCAACTTCTTGTTCCTTCAAAAAGATCACTGGCAAATAAAATTGAGGCTGCTGTCACATCAATTTATCCCCAACCCAAGTTGCAGCTGTTGCCATGACCATAACTGACCATTTAAAAAAGTAATCCAGTACAATCCAGTGCATTTATTTCTTGTAATGTGTGGCTGTTTCAACTTTTGATTTAAAACACATACAAATTAATGTTTTCAGGTTTATATGACAATTATCAATACTAGAAGCGAAGTCATGGGTAGAGGAGCTCATGAAAAAAAGCCGAATTTTTCTCTTGCTGTAAGGTAATTAAACCAAACATTTCAAATGCAGGTCTCATGGAAGCAAGTATATCTTTCAGTGGTTAGCAACTAATCAGAATCATCCATCAGTGCAAGCAGCCAGGAGTATAAATCCTCAATCTCTACAAGCAGCTAATTTAACTAGGGACAAAAGTTTTATACAATATTTAGATGGCTAGGGAGAGTTTATCATCAACATACACACTTGCATATCTAATAGCAGGTTCAGATAGTCTGAAATAGAGATTTATATAAAATTGTTACTCTGCATATCAGATATATGAATTTAATTTTATACTCCATATTAAAACTCTACCCATAATGGAGCATGGACACCAGCTGAGGAACAATCTTAGAGCTCAGTTCTTAAGAACATAATACCACCGGTATACTGGTCACCTCATCCATGGCTCCATACCTATTTCAGAGCTAATCAAATGCAAAAAAAGTGCAAACATGAAGTTAGTGGAATTCACACAGACTGGAACATGTCTGTATTTTGTCTGTTACTGAGAAATAAGAATTAGATTTAAATGGTATTTCATTTAGCTTATGTTCCTCTGTGCTCTGGAAAAGAGCTAAAAACCTCACTGCCATCTCCATGTAGTCTTTGAAATATTAATGGACGCTTATATTTGCTGAAAACCACAAAAGAAACTTAGTGGTAAGTTAGAAGTTTCAAGTTCTGCCATCTTACTTCTTTAAAACAAGACTCTGCATAAACATAATTAAAAAAAACAGGATTAGTTGATGGCTGTTTCAGTAAATCTATTAAGGATTACTAGGGACTTCTAAATACACTCATTATGGCAAGAGATACAATATACTTGGCTGGAGTAGTTAACTACCTACATATTTTGACTCTCAATACATTAACCAATCCTCTCCAAACATTGCTGTGATAAAGTTGTAGTATTCACTTGCTCCAATTTATATTCAGAACATACGAAGTTGACAATTTAAAGCTTTATTGTAGTTTGTAATATAAACAAGTGCTGACATTCAGTCAATGTCCATTTCTGGGAGTTTCTTTTCTGTAGCTGTTGGAGTAGTTGTGTTAATGCTCTGTTCAGCAGGCTGGGACCTTGTGTTGGCATCTCCCTGGCCTTCTACTGGTCCATTCTGTTCAGCTGGATTTTGCTCCTCTTTAGGGAGTTCTGCCTTGGGTTTTGGTTTTGTGACTATAGGATTGCAGATACCTGTCAATTCCTAAAGTAAGAGTTGAGAGAATTTAAGTTAGAGCACACATTAAGGCTTATACCTACAGTCATTGCCTAAAGGAGCTTACAACAACACTAGCTGAACGTTCCCAGCTGAAGGCAGAAGTGCCCCTACATAGCTTTGGGAGGTTTTGTTGAAAATAATACTACTCTATTTCCCACCTTACCTCCTCCTCAGAGCCGCTCTGAGCATAAAGAAACATGGTGTAAGTAGGATACCACTTATACAACATGAAACCAGTTTCATATTTTTCTGCAAAGTCAAACAAGATCTTACTTTAGTTTTAGCTTGGATGTCCTTAGTCTTTATAACTGGGTCCAAAGTAAGACTTCTCTTGTTCTGAAGATTAAGCTTATTGTTCATCCATTCCATAGCTTCACTTACACTCTTCTCCACTTTTACCATATCTGCTGCATCTAAATGGTCATACTGTTCATCCTGAAGTATGAAAAAAATTACACAGCACATTTATACATTACATTTCATTTG